TCAATTCTATTCGATCTATTCTTTTCGATCTCTTCTTTTCAATCTCTTCTTTTCAATCGATTCTTTTCAATCTTTCAATCTCTTCTTTTCGAATATGAGTGCAATATTCGTTTTTCTGGAAGCTTTTTAGCTAAAGTTGAAAGGATTGTCTGGCAGGGGAGAGATCGGCTAGTACAAGAGTCGAAGAATTCTCCAATGCTAGATCAAAAATCGTTCTTCAATTTTCAATCGATTCTTTTCAATCTCTTCTTTTATCTATTCTTTTATCTATTCTTTTTATCTTTTATCTATCTATCTATTCGTTTAACTTTTCAGAGTTGAAAACTGAATGAAAATATGATTTCTGAGTTCTCCTTGAAATCTTTAAGCTTTATAAATCATTTAAGCTTTCAATTTTGAAGTTTAAACTTATTGCTTTGCAAGGTTTGCTTTGCAAGGCTTGCGTTGCAAGGCTTGCGTTGCAAGGTTTGCTTTGCAAGGCTTGCTTTGCAAGGTTTGCTTTGCAAGGCTTGCGTTGCAAGGTTTGCTTTGCAAGGTTTGCTTTGCAAGGCTTGCTTTGCAAGGTTTGCTTTGCACTTTACAACGTTCAAAAACTTTGCAAAGTTCAAAAAACTGGTAATAACCGTAAAGCAAAGCGTTTCTTGATGTTAAATATCTTTAAATCTGTTGAATATTCTTAATTATTGTCACTATGGTCACTATTGTCACTATTGTCATCTATTTTAAAGCTAGATATTTGTTTTAAAGTTTTTCAATGAATCCATCGATCAATTTCAATCAATCAATCAATCAATCAATCAATTTCAATCCTTTTCAATCATTCGTAAGGCTATTTTACTAAATTTTTGATGCTTTTCGTTTTTTCTTCCGCTTTTTGTTCTAAAAAGAGCTTTTTCGCATTTCTAAAGCTTTATTCTTGCTTTTAAATTGTTTTTGAATTGAATTGAGTTCTAAAATCTTTAATTTTATCATTTTATTCTATAATCTTGATTTCAATCGCATTTCTAAAGCTCTCTTTCGTTTTCGAAATGAGATTCAACTTTAATTTCGCTGTTTGAAGCTATTTTTCGTGCTTATTTCCTTTCTGTTTTCCTTTTCTTCTGAATTCAACAGTTCCAATTGAAGCTCCAATTCAAACTCTAATTAAAACTCTTTAAAATCTTTCCCAAAACCACAAGAATTTCTAGAATTCCTCCATTGGCAATGGTGGCGACAGTGGCGGTGGCGGTGGCCACTCCCCTTCCTCTACCGCAACAAAATGATGTCATCATGCATTCCGTTCAACCGGAAATGGTCAATGATTTCACGCATCTTCAATCGATTGAGGTTTTGAAATACTATTGATACAAAAATATACAAAAACTACAAAATATTGGGTTGTTGAATTGAAAACTGCCGGCTATTGTCATATGTCCCAGTTTGAGCACTTTCTTCAAAAGAAACCCATTTTGGTGTCAATGGAAAAGTTGTAGAGAATCAAAAATTAAGCTTATAGCCAAATTTTCAGAACGATTCAAAAACTGGTTTTCAAGAAATGCCAAATTTACGAATTTTCACAAATGAAATGACGGAAAAGGAGGGGGGGGGGCGAGCGGGTTACGGTATCTGTCTGTCTTTCTGTCTGTCTTTCTGTCTGCCTTACTGTACGGGCATTTTTCCAGCCTTATTTTGACCAATATTTCATTTTTCATTTTGGTTTTCAAGAAATGCCAAATTTACGAATTTTCACAAAACTTGCATCTTAAGCGAAACTACTAAGTGTATCTTTTTGGAAATTTGGATATAAGCCTAATTTTTGATTCTCTACAACTTTTCTATTGACACCAAAATGAGTTTCTTTTGAAGAAAGGGCTCAAACTGGGACATTCCTCCATTTTTGAGTCTCCAGTCCTCCATTTTTGAGTCTCACACTCGTCTCACACACAAACCAAAATCCTACTACGAAAGAGGAATCCGCAAATTTTAAGATTTAAGACTTACAACTCTGAAAAGCTAATGTAAACTTCAGAACAATGACACCCAAGCGATGAACTTATCCGGAATTGATTTGGCGCCACTCTCGCCAAACTCGCAGGCCACCAATTTGGCGGCTGAAAAAGCAAAACTTCATCAACAGGCGCTAATGCTAGAGAAATGGCTAATCCACAATGAGAACAATCTCTACCCAACGAGAGAGCAAAAGGAGAAAATGGCTACGGAAATGAAAATGACGTATATACAGGTGAGTAAAAGCTTGATCTTGAACTTGATCCGGAACTGGATCCTGAACTGGGGCCTGAACTGGGGCCTGAACTTGATCTTGAACTTGATCCTGAACTAGATCCTGAACTGGGGCCTGAACTTGATCCAGAACTGGATCCTGAACTGGATCTTGAGCTTGATCCTGAACTTGATCCTGAACTTGATCCGGAACTGGATCCTGAACTGGATCCTGAACTGGGGCCTGAACTTGATCCTGAACCGGATCCTGAACTGGGGCCTGAACTTGATCCTGAACTGGATCCTGAACGAGTAATGATTTCTGATTGTACTGATGAGTCTCCTACGAGCCACTCATCAGAATGTATGCTCATCTCAAATTCTAATCACTAAAAGTTTTCAAAAAGTTGGGCAAGCCGATTCTTTTACCGGTTGAGGCACGGAAACAAAACATCGGCCGCACCGGGACTCGAACCCGCCACCCCGCGCACCTCTAGCTCACTAGCCTCTAGCGCTTTACCAATGGGCTAAACCGATAACTATCCCAGCGGCCAGGATAAGGCTTATCCTTTACTCTAGCGACTTTTGGATAAAGAGCTAATTTCAATAGTTCTATTCCAAAAGCCCTGAAATCTTTGGCCAGAACTTTCATGGATATTTTGAGGATTTCGTCGAGAGTTGGAGTTCGTCGAGAGTCCTAATGGACTTAGCTGAAGGATCCAATTCGGCTGTTTTTTTTCGGGAGCTCCAATTCAGCCGTTTTTTCTTGTTTTTCCTGGAGAAAAGCCACAATTTGGGGTCAAGGCGTTTTTCTCTTTTTTCAGCGAATCTTTAGCGAACTTTGACGCGAGAAAAACCGTTCTCAGATTGAATCGAATCCTCGAAACTCTAAGGCAATGAGGGGCGCGAGGGGGTGGGCGCAGCTCCCCCTCATTGCTAGCTCCCCCGTTCCCCATCAAATCAATGTTCCCCCTCCATAAAAGCACGTAAAGTGGTGCGGTCAAGGATTTAGTTCGGATTCGGTAGACTATAGAGTAGATAATTATGACTTATATATGAATTATGACTTATAAAATAGATAATATTCTACTAGATCCCAAATAACCTAGATCCCTTCCCATTTTTCCCAATTCCCTGCAATTTTGGGTGGTTGGTGTGCTGGGGAAAGAAAGTGGTCAATAGATGGACGCTCACCCAGCCTTTCTCTTCTCTTTCTCTTTCTCCTTCTCTTCTCTTTCTCTTTCTCTTTCCCCCAACGGTCACTCGGCCATTCCCCATTGAATCCTAGTGTGTTTTTTCCCCCTTTTTCCCCAATACTAGGGATTACGAGTATTTGCCTCAGCCACTCTTCCATTTCTCTTCCATTTCTCTTCTCTTTTACCTCTTCTCTTTCACCACTTTTTGTGTGGCCGACTTTACGAGGCCGAGCGCACGTCCCCGCCTCTTTTATATGAATATTGAATGCTTTCTGCTTTCTGCTTTCATTTAAATAATTAGAATAAATTTTGGATAGAAGTATTGGCGCTTTTTGGATAGAAGTATAGAGTTTTACTGGTAAAAGAGGTGTACTGGTAAAAGATGAGTACTGGTAAAAGACGAGGTTATAAAGTGACAAGCTTATCCAAGCTCATCCAAGCTTATCCAAGCTCATCCAAGCATTTTCCTATGAAAGCGCTAGAGATTTCAATTTTAAACCTCAGCTAAGCAAACTAAGCCTAAGCAAACTAAGCAAGGATTGTAAAGGGATGGAATGAACGCGTTTAGCCAGAGAAAAACTCGAAAAACTGGGTACTATAGTTCAAAAAAAAACAACATTTATTTTTTTTTTTCTCAAGGATCGATTTCCAAATCTTTCAGGTGAATCGTTGGTTCGCGAATCGACGCCGCAAACAAAGCAAACGCATCAAGCTGATCAATCAACAACAGCAGAACAGTGGGAGGATTTCCGCCGAGAGGCCACAGGTGAGAAAAATCGATTTGGGATTTGAGAACAGTTAGAGAACTGCAATAGAACTTTAAATCAGCCGTCAAAATCAAAAATTTAACTAGCAAATTCCCCTTTAACTGTAAAGATATTCAGTTTGCTCGACGTGTAAAGAGGATTACTCGTATTAGGCTGTTCAGAAAGATTCTTGGACCTTTGATAAGCCCCGCCCCTTTGCCATTGGCAATCTAACTTTGAACTCAAATTTCTCGGTGTTGGGTTGTTCAATTTAAATATTTTTAATATCATTCGATGCGCCAAGTCTTTCTCTATCGATTGGTAGAAAAACTATTTAAATTGAACAGCCCAACACCAAGAAATTCGAGCTTAAAGTTAGATTGCCAATGGCAAAGGGGGCGGGGCTTATCAAATGTCAAAGGGGCGGAGCGTGTAAGGTTATGATGCCAAGAATATTCGATAGCCCAACACCAAGTAGTTTGAGCTAAAATTAGATTGCCAATGGCAAAGGGGCGGGGCCAGAAAGACCTTTTATACGCGCTCCGCCCCTTTGGAAATGGCAATCTAAATTTGAGCTCAAATAACTTGATGTTCGGCTGTCCAATTTAAACAGTTTTTCTACCAATCGATAGAGAAAGACTTGGCGCATCTAATGATACCAAGAACATTTAAATTGGACAGCTGAACACCGAGAAATTTGAGTTCAAAGTTCGATTGCCAATGGCAAAGGGGCCGGGCTTATCACTTATTAAACTTTTCCAGAACACCGTGGTCACCGCTGCGCCGGAGCTGGAGAAAACGTTGACAAGCCAGGAGAATGTGCAACTCGCCGACGATCTCATTCAATCGTTTGCAAAAGGTTTGTGGATAGTCTAAGCTTAGATCAAAGCAGATCAAAGCAGATCAAAGTCAAATAAATCTAAAGTCCAGTGTCTATATTGTTGTTTGCCTTCAGCCAATCTTGAAATCCTTAGACTTGAAAGCCTTAGACTTCAATTTTATCTTGCTCTTTCAAAAGTCTCTCAATTTCTCAATTTCTCTTAATTCTTCTCTTAACTCTTACGATTTCTTTCAATTCAATTTCCAACTCTTTCCCCAATATCACTGCTTTCGAGTACTAGAACTCTTTTCGCTGAAGTAAAAAAAAGTAAAGCCGCTTCTCTCATGACTATTGAATGCTTTTGCGGGGAAAGGGGGGAACTCCCTTCTCTTCAATAGTACTAGTCTAGACCTAGAAAGCCAGCTATCTCCCACACACACAAAATTTTACCCAAACAAAACTCTTCTACTTCTAACCCTTAAACAATTGTATTGTTTTGATAGATTTAGATTTGTTTGACTTGCTATTAGGCTGGGTGATCAAGCTCAGATCAAGATCAAGCGATCAAGCAAACTTTTAAGCTTAAAGCTTTAAGCAAACTTTTAAGCTTAAAGCTTTAAGCAAACTTTTAAGCGACTTTTAAGCTTTTAAGCAATCAAGCTACTCTTTTGAGCTTAAATATCCAGTATCTTTCAACAATTAAGCTGTCCAGAAAGTCTTTTTCGTTCATTTTCTGAGAAAATCAACTGTAAATTCATTTTTTTAAAGTAGCCCTTTGATCTAGCCGACAAAACCTTTGATCTAACCGACAAATCCTTTCATCTAACCGATAAAGCCTTTGATCTCACCGTCAAGTCCAGTTTTTCTAGCTTTACTCAAAAACGGTTAAAGAATTTTCAAATCTGATTTAATAGGCAAAAGCACTATAGTTTATAACATCTTATCTCAAAAAATTAGACCGAAATCCCCACTGGAATTCGAGTTATTAGGTAACACACATTCAAACTTTTTTTTCTTTGTTTTTATCGGACTTTCAATCGAATTTTCATCCGCTTTTCGACGTTATTAAGCTTTTTTTAAATCTAACTTTATAGTTTAACTATTTAAAAGCTATTTAGCTAGCTTTGTAAGGCTTTATAAGTCTTTGTAAGTCTTTGTAAATCTTTGTAAGCCTTTGTAAATCTTTGTAAGCCTTTGTAAATCTTTGTAAGCCTTTGTAAGGCTTTGTAAGTCTTTGTAACGCTTTGTAAGTCTTTGTAAGGCTTTGTAAGTCTTTAAAAAGTTAAACATTTTGCTATCTGAACATTTTGTTAGAGTTAAAAAAGAAAAAAAGGAAGATTGAAGGGTTTTCTATTAGAAAAACGATTTAAACAAAAAGGGAAAACGATAAATTTGACTGTTATCGATCCCTATCATTCTTTCGCTAGAATCGGATGAAAAAAGAGACGAAGAATTGAAGGCTAAAAGACGGAAAAGAGGATGTCTGGTTCGATCATTCTTCTCGTCGCTGTAGGGCCGGTTTTTCAGTCTTGAACGGGCTCTCGTCACACAAAGACTCTCCATTCAAATAGTTCCTCTATTTACATCTTCTTTCCTCTCTTTTCTTTCCATTTTGTCTCTTTTTTTGTCTTTTTTTTAAGACCAGGATCTTCCTTTCATCTCAAAGCTCATTTTTCTGGCCTTGTTTTTCCCTGTTGTTCAAAGTTCAGAGATTCTAGTGAAGATTCTAGTCAAGATTCACTGTTATCCTGTTCTTTAGACTCTTTGTGCCCTTCTTTATGCTCTTTTTGTGTTCTTTATGCGATCAAGTAATCACTTACAATCTGGCAAACTGTTTTGGTATAAAAGAAGTTCCCTTTTGGAATCGCTAAAAGGCTATAGAGCCGTTTTTGCTATTTTGAGCGCTAGTATGCCAAAATTCAATTCGAATCCCAATTTTTCACAAAACAGAGAACAATGAGATAGCTTTTAAGTGTCTAATGATCTATGAGAAGACATTAGACATTTGTATTTGTTTATTGTTTGTTTAAAAACACTTAAACTCCATTCCTATCATCTAAATGAGCTCAAACTTTGTCTCCTGGTTTGTAGTTGAGCTTTGATTCGATCAATTCGAACAATTCGAGCAATTCGAGCAATTCGATCATTCCATTCTATCAATTCTATCATTCTAGCATTGTATTTTATCAATTCTATCAATTCGATTACTCTATTCTATCAATTTTATCATTCTATCATTCTATTCTATCAATTCGATCAACTCGATCACTCCATTCTATCAATTCTATCAATTCGATCACTCCATTCTATCAATTCGATCATTCTAGCCATCTATTCTATCAATTCTATCATTCCATTCCATCATTTCCATTAATTCTAGAAGAAAACCCATATCTAGCCCAAAAAAGAACGAATAATCTAGTCGGCGGAATTGAACCCTTGACCTCTCGACCTCTCGACTAAGAAACAAGGCTCTTAATCAGTTAGCTATGGAGGCAGAGTTTTCATCAGATATTAAAGGACATTTGAGCTGACGGGGTGGACTTGCAGGTGGGTTTTAATAAGCCTTAAGGTCTAAAGGATCAAGTGGAGGGGTCAGGTGGAATTACAGCCAAAAAGAGAACATATCCAGAGCAATCCGGAAAGGAGGAAAGGAGGAAAGGAGGAAAGGAGGAAAGGAATAGGAAGTGGTAAAGAAAGAAAGAAAGGTATAGGAAGTGCAAAAGAAAGTAAAGATTTGGGCTAATCCTTTTTGCGATGAGGAAAACCTAGTCAACAAGCTGTATTGTGAGTTCGGCCTTGACTCGTTTCTCAATCTCTCAAAATTCAACAAAATTCTTCAATTTCAAGCCAGAAATGATTAAGTATTAATCGAGTTTTCTCTTCTCTATGAAATCGCTAAAAGAGAAGTGGCCAAAAGAGAAGTGGCCAAAAAGAAAGCCTAAAGAATTGGCGCTTTCATTTCGAGCGGGGAAGTGAAGGGAGCGCCCGAGGCTCCGATGACCGCTCTCGGCTTTCTCTAGCCCTTTAATCTCTATCTTACTCTAGTCCTTCTCTAGTTCTTCTCTAGTCCTTCTCTAGTCCTGTCTCCTCTCATTCCTTTCAATCTCTACATCAATTCGAGGGTCGAGGCTGGGATGGGGAAGGGAAAGAGTCTGTCAGAGCACTCATCCCCGTCCCTCCCCATCAGCCTCTCTTTTCCCCCTTTCTTTGCTGAGTGCTGTGTCGATTTTCCCTCAACCCCTCACAGCACACGAACACGAGCCTCTTTCCTATATACGAATTCACGTTTTTACTTTATTTTCGTTCTATTGCTGTGCTATTGCTAGCGCTTAATAGCTCGTCGACTGTTTGTTCGTCTATTAAACTTTGAGCTCAAATATCTCGGCGTTGGGATGTCCAATTTCAATATTCTTAATACCATTAGATTCCCCAAGTCTTTCTCTATCGATTGATATAAAAACTATTTAAATTGAACAGCGCAACACCAAGAAATTCGAGCTCAAAGTTAGATTGCCAATGGCAAAGGGGCGGGCGCGTATAAAAGATCTTTCTGGCCCCACCCCTTTGCCATTGGCAATCTAACTTTAAACTCAAATTTCTCGGCGTTGGGCTGTTCAATTTAAATAGTTTTTATACCAATCGATAGAGAAAGACTTGGTGCATCTAATGATGTCAAGAATATTTTAATTGGACAACCTAACACCAAGAAATTTGAGCTCAAAGTTGGGTTGTCGATAGGGAAAGACGGGGCGCTCACAATCTTTCTGGAAAGCCGAATACGAGCCTCTTTAAACGTCGAGTAAATTGAATATCTTTAAATTTAAGGGAAATTGCCAACAAATTAGTTAAACAGCTGAATATCTTTAAAAGGAGCCATAGATAAGTCGGCGATGGTGTTTTTTGCGTCATTTTTGCGCCACTTTTGCGCCATTTTTGCGCTACTTTTGCACCATTTTTGCGCCATATTTGCACCATTTTTGCGCCATTTTTGCGCCACTTTTGCATCAGTTTTGCGTCATTTTTGCATCATTTCTGCATCGTAATCGTTCAAAATCCATTTCTGCGTCATTTTTGCAAGGACTTTCGCTAAAATGAATAGACTTTTTGAATGATTAAGATTTTAAGTTCTATTGCAAGCTATTTTTAAGCGTTAACCTATTTGCAAGTTCCAATAAGCTCCAATAAGCTTCAATTAAAAAAGTTCCAATAAGCTATACTTTAGAAATTTAGAAATTTAGAAAATTAGAAATAGAAATGAAATAGAAATGAAATTAGAAATAGAAATGAAATTTGAAATTCTCGTTTCCCAAGCAATCGATAAAGCTGACTCAACTTATTTCGCTCATTTCCGTCAGCCAATAAAATTTCTCGATTCTCTTGAGTCAGCTCTGTTATTTCAGTTTTCAGTCAGCGAGGAAAGTTGAAAACGTATTGTGTAGTCGTTTTTCCCACTGACATTGTGTCTTTTTAAAAGCTATTCAGTTGTGTTGCTTTGAAAGAGCGATTGGATATTGGATTTGGCATTTGGAGCATTTGGATATATCTAAATTCGATTTATTTTATAGATAAATAGATTTCAGATCGCTTAACGCTTTGCTGTGTACTTTGTGTGTACTTTGGGTGTACTTTGTGCCGTTCTAAAGCCACACTTTCTAGTAGAGTAGCTGCTGTCAGCTACAGTAGCTTCTAGTAGAGTAGCTGCTGCCAGCTACAGTAGCTTCTAGTGGAGTAGCTGCTGCTACAGCAGCTTCTAGTAGAGTAGCTGCTGTAGCTGGATTTAAGCTTTGAAGAGAGCTAATATTTAAGCTTTAAAGATAATAATCTAATTTGAATCTAAAAATAATCTCAATTTGATTTCAAAACGAGTTATCGCCGAGTTTCGAAAAGAATTTTTCATCCTGTGCAAACGGGAAAAATTTTGGCGCCAAATCGTGCCCAGGCACGAAATTTTCAAACATTTGCTCACTGTCTGAGAAATATGAAAGAATTTTTGTAGTATTTGATCAAAGCTAGATAGCTTGCTTGAATCTAGCTAG